GCATCAGAATAGAAGAAAACACAATTTTGGGTGCTGCTGCCATGATGACCATTATGGGAAAACCATGTTACTTATGATTGCCAAACTTTCAAAAAAGAAATACAGGACTAAAATGCAGTCTGAGTTGGAAAAGCAGTCTAAGTGACTTCTTTTTCTGGAAGTTATACATTTTCAAAGTGTAAACTTGTCACATATTTTAATTACATTGGTATTACCTGTTGAGGATAATTAAAATTTGATGTTGAATTTGCAGTTTAACATAATGTATTTTTGCATCAGAATTGACAGTAGCCTATTTTGTGCATAGTTATTTCCTGTTTTTTGTCTGTACATTTGACAGCTTTGCTGCCTTGTTGGATTTTAATCCTGAACAGTATATAATCAGACTCTCATATTTATCTGCATACTGATAAAATGAAAATCAGTCATATATGCACAGTCCCCAGTTATCCCCCCAACCTTTTTAAATATATCACACATGATGGAATCCTACTTTTTAGTCCCACCAATGATAATGAGTAAAGAGGACAAATTGATCGTTGAAGTGAACAATCCAGTTCTTCTGCCGTGTGAAGTACATGCCATTCCAGATGCTGAAGTCAGGTGGTACAAAGATGGAGGGGTAAGTTTCCACTATAATTCTGTTATACAGACTTCATATCCCTAAAGTGTGGTATTGGTCTGTACTTAGGATATTCGGAACCTAACTGCTAATCTGATCAGATCAGTTAAACTATTTCTAGCTGAAGGAAGTTAATAAGTGTACTTTTGTGACACCCTCTATACCTCCCCTCTGTTTAGCTCTTTCATTATTTAAAGCATTGACAATTTTAAACAGCCTTTTCAGAAGTTGATAATAAATGTGAACTTAACATCCAGGGTGAATCTTTTGGTCATTCTCATGATGGTTAGAGATATGATAATTTTGTTATAACAGGAGCTGTCCAGACTTAACCAGCTTATAGAGATAAGAAGGGATGGTCTATATATGCCCAGTACTCAGGTGGAGGATGCCGGACTATATGAATGTGAAGCCTCTAATGTAGCCGGCACTGCCACCAAAAGGATAAAGCTTGTTGTCCAAGGTTACTCTAGTTTCTTTCTTTCTTTTTTTTAAACAGTATTTTATGGTATTTTACTTCAGCAGTTTGTGCTGTGTGATTTTCATATTTAAAAAAAAAAGCAGTGTGAGCTTACACAGTTGTATGTCACATATCTTTGGACAGTAAGACATCTGAAATTTTGCTGAATGCTTTTTTATTCGAAAGCATATACTACTACTTGTGATTTGATTGATTATTTATTGTTAGTGTCTGTAATCAATAAAACCTGAAAAATAGTTTTTCCAGTGCTTTCATGTGTAAGTGAGTGTTCTCAACATTTCCTCCTCATTTCTTTCAGTGCCTCCCAAGATAATTACTGAAGGCCCTTCAAAGTTCATAGTCATCAAAGGTGACCATATCACGTTACCTTGTGAAGCAACTGGAGACCCAGACCCCATGATAATGTGGCGTAAAAATGGAAAAGACCTGACTGTCTTGGATGCAGATGATGGCTACATTGTACAGGAAAGTGGTGCCCTCTATATTGTGAAAACTAAAGTAAAACACACAGCTACTTACACATGTATTGCTGAGAACCCTGCAGGCAGTGATACCAGGAGTGTTAAGCTGGTGGTGCATGGTGAGTTGTAAATAATCATAATCAGAATGCTGAATATTTTGAACAACCAATTTAAGTGTTTTTCTACAAATGCCACGTACTGTTTATATTAGAATGTCATCAGAAACAGTTCAATATCATCAGTTTTATGTCAAAATCTAAATATTTCAGTACCTTAAAATGAATGCTTGTAAAAATTTGGTATAATGTTTTTTATTGGTTATTTAGGTAATGCATCAACATGTACATTTTTCTTCCTCTAGACCCTCCTCAAATCCCTGAAGACACAATAAAAAACACCAGTATAATAGAGAATCAGAAAGCTGTACTGCCATGTCCTGCCACTGGAACACCACTGCCAAAGATCACATGGTACAAAAATGGCAAGGAGATCACCGGAAATGAACTGGGAGTACGGATACTAGCAGATGGTTCGTTGGTATTTGACAGAGCAGAAGCGTCAGATGCTGGCAGTTATGAATGTGTGGCATCTAATGTGGCTGGGAACATAAGTAATGTTATTGAGTTCAGGGTTTTTGGTAAGTAATGTAATGGTGTTTGTGAGAAATTAAGAGTAAAACAGAGTACTTTGATATTAATCTGTATGTGGACATTTAAAGAGGTACACAGTAAATTTTTTTCATGTTTTGTAAAATCTTGTTGGAACCATAAATAAAGTACAAGATTTTAATTTTTACAAAAGCAACAAAATATGTTCATGTTTAATTGTAGAACTTGATTAATATTTGTTACAAGTTTACCAATTGCTGTGCCACATTTCTTCAAATTCTAGTTCCACCCAGAATTGGCTATGGCGATGGTGAAGACACTGATGGCTACCCTCACATTGTTGTTATAATAAACCAGACCGCCATCTTGGAATGCCTGACCCATGCTATACCACCTCCCACTATCACATGGTACAAAGCTGATGTTCCATTGGTCATTGAGAATGAGCCAAGACTGACCCTGTTGGACAACGGCCAAAGGTTACGAGTGGCTGAATCTCAACTTGACGACACTGCCCTCTATAGGTGTCAGGCAGAAAATATTGCTGGAAAGACGGAGAAGAAGATAGACTTGGAAATACAAGGTGAGGAAATATATCAGTGAAGGATTTTGACTTCATTGTTTATGAAATGTCATTTAACAGAAGGGTTTATTACACCTTTTTTCCTCTTGGTTACAATGAAAAAGTACTGCGTTTCTTATAACCATTAATAGTAGTTGTTTACACAACTGTCATAGGTGAATAGGGTTATATTCTCAATAAACATAATCAGCCCATTTTCAATATATACCTGGTCTATTTTGGATCTGTTCAATCTTGAGATGATTTCTGTTTCCTGAGGAACATACAATCTAAACAGCAGCCTGTGGCACTATTAATAATCACCCATAGTCGCCAGTACTTCTATGACTTAGTCTCAATTACCTGATCAACATATTTTCCAGAGCCCCCAAGGATTGATGAAACCAGGGTCACATCTAAGAACAACACTGTGATTGTCAATGACACCTTTGAGATAGATTGTCCTGTGATTGGGACACCAAAACCTCTCATTGTGTGGTTCAAAGATGGAGAAGTGCTGGACCCTTCTAAGGTACAATATCAGTACTTTTTAGTCAGAATTTTGGGGAATTCGTGAAGCTTCCTTTGGCTCTGCCAACAACATGAAAAATATGTCATTCATGTGCATGTAGTTCATGCTCTAAATGATAAAACAGCAGCTGAAAACAAATGGTTTCAGTTTTCACAAATAGCCATAATACATGTAGGTAAATAAAAATATGGGAGCCTTGTTTGTGGTTATTTGATTCAGAAACATAGCTGACTTTTGTTTGATTTTATTTATTATTATTATTTATTTATTGATTAATTTTTGTCATTTCTAGGATAACATTCAAGTTCTTCTTGGTGGTAAAAAGCTTCGTATTCTGTCAGCAGAGGTTGAAGATACTGGAGATTATCAGTGTAAAGCCACAAATGTTGCAGGAGAGACCAAGAGAAACTACAAGCTTGAAGTTCACGGTAAGTGGGAATGACATAAGCACATTGTTAAATTTGTGAATTGAATTCCTGTGATACATGTAATATAAAGCTATTTTCCTATAATTGTAACTGCTAGGATTAATGTTCACTGGTAATTAGTGACTAGAGAAAAACAATGATATATATATTTTCCTGATGAGGATGTTTTGGTAGAATTGTTGACTCATGATCGTGTGACAAAATTATTTTTAGCAATTAATTCATGGCTTTCTTAAAGAAAATTTATGCCAAAAATTAAAGCTATAGCAATTCAGTTTCTATCTTGATACATGAAAAAGCTCAAGTAGCTTTAATAACTTTGGTTCATTAGATGAGTGTATTTGTTTCAGTTCCACCAAAGATTGATGACTCAGATGAAGTGGCAGTCCCAGAGGTAGTTCTGAATCGCACCATTGTCATCATCTGTCCTGCTTCGGGCATCCCCATCCCAGAGATTGCCTGGTTTAAAGATGGCAACATGATCACCCAAAACACATCTCGTTGGACCATTTTGGCCAATGGGAGACAACTTGAGGTGCGGCAGGCCCAGGTCTCAGACACTGGGCGCTTTCAGTGCAGAGCAAAAAATGTTGCCGGAGAGTCTGAAAAATACTTTGATTTGACAGTCTTAGGTGAGTCGGGAATGCGTATATCCAGCATAGAATTTCTTTAGCTCTTTTATGCACTCAGAGTTTGAGTGGTAGTTTCTTCTAACAACAGCTGATCTTGGGTAAATTCAACAAATGCAATTTATATTGGAGTTAAAATACTTTGATGTTAGCTTGAAGTGTTTGAAGAAAAATGTAACTTTGGAATGGTTATACATCATATTAAAAATCATTCAACATCCTAGAGAAATTTGTCCAACAAGGAGACTGGTAGCCATTTTTCATGACTGTGAACCACCCATCTAATGATCTGTTTTCCAATTATGTTCCAGTTCCTCCTTACATTGACAAAACCAACATCATCGATAAGCCCAAGGTGGTTGTAAACCAAACAATTACCATCAGCTGCCCTGCCAATGGTATCCCAGACCCAGAAATAGTCTGGCTGAAAAATGGAGAATTGCTGAACTATAAGACCCATCCTGATATAAAATCACTGTCCAATGGTCGACAACTGGAGATACGCAAGGCCAAGGTCACTGACACTGCAGTCTATAGGTGCCTTGTTATGAACAAAGCAGGAGAAGATTTCACTGATTTTACGCTGCAAGTTTTAGGTGAGAAAATGAACCTGTTTACCAAAATTGAGATGAGATGACAGAAGGCTAAAATGACTTATTCTGGTCTTAGATATCAGTCTGGTTGCCCTTGTTTTAAAGTGATAACAACTTTTTAAAGATATGGTTTGCCTTAGTGATATTTCAGTTAGAATGTAAGTTTTTATAGTTTTATAATGTATGTTTTGGTAATTTTGGTAATTTTTTAATTTGATTTTTCCCCATTGCAGTGCCTGCCTACATTGGCAAGAGAGGCGTGGATGAAAAACCAAGGATTATTGTGAACAACACATTTTCATTGAGTTGTCCTGCTGCTGGCATACCAACACCAGACATTTTGTGGTTGAAAGATGGCTTCCCTATCAGACTGTCTGAAAATCCAAATATACAGGTGATCTCAATTTTTACTAAAAAATTATGAAGAAAGCAAGGTCAGAAGGTGAATGGGGTGAATGTATGAGAATAAGTAGTATGTACGTTATTGGTGATCTGATAGTGATGCTTGAGTTGTGGCACATTTCATATTTGTTGAATTTTCATTTATAAAGTGTTTAATAAAGTTTACCTTTAATTAAAAATTCTTGATGTTTTTTAATGTGTAAATGATTGTATGTACATGTAAGTGGCACACAGATGTATTTGTAGTGTGACTTTTTAAGAAATTTATTATGATTATTGTTATTTTATAGGTACATGAGAATGGTCTCCGCCTGGAGATCCGTGACTCCCAAGTTGATGACACTGGCAGGTACACGTGTAGAGCTGTCAATGAGGCGGGGGATGCTGAACAAGACTATGATGTTCAGATTTGGGGTAAGAATAATTGACTTTAGTCTCATTTATCTCACATTCAACCTAAAAACATTAAGAGCTGATTTTTAAACATACTACACACTTATTTTTTTTTATAAAGTAAAAACTGTTCCTAGACTTTGATGGATAGAGTGTGGTGTACAAGTGACTTATTCAAACTCAAGTAGAATCTCCATAAATTACATTTTTTCCTTTTTAATTCATTAATCCTTAAATCAGGTCACAAATGATGTAAAAAACATGTGCATCACTATTTAATCCTCATTTTTCAGAAAATATGTTGGATCAAAGCATAATGCTAATTTCTTATGGGGAATTTTGAGGAGACTAAAATGATTTTTCCCTGTTTGCAGACGAGCCAGATTCAACAGTATTAAGGTCAGTGTTATTATATTTTCAGTCCCACCAACCATTGACAAGTCCCTCATTGATCCAGACCCCAATGTCATCGTGAATAACACCATCGTAAT